CGACGTTGCGTGGATGAGAGCAGATTTTTTCCTCCCAACTGGGCCCCCAAATTGAAGAGTATTTCTTCTCCCAGTTTTTCCTCACATTTTTGTTCCAATGGGGGAGATCCGCATAGTGTTTCTCAACAAGTGGTTCTCGCGCGAGGAGTTGATTCGCTTGTAAATCCCCATCTATTGTGAGATGCAGCTTCATCCCTGCGTCAGTAAATGGCTGGTGAAGGTTGAACAGAGCAACAGTGAGATTTTGGTGCTCCATGTGCTTCGACGACTCTTCAAAGTTGCCTTCACGTACGCTTCTTACAGTTCCGTCAGCTAAGGTTCTGCTGCGCGGATTGAGTGTTGTGCTGAATGCTATAATTGGTGCACAATCATATCTGGGTGCAAGTGATTAGACTGAGAGCCGCACCTATTAGCATAGCTCAAATACTCACATGTCCGAAGGGTAAGATTCATCTCCAGCCATAATCTCCAGATGCTGCTCGCCAGCATTCCTTCCATGACTCCAACCACCATCTGCAGTTGCACAGACAAAGGCAAGCAATAGGATGGTTTGACAATAAAATAGAACCCTTTGAGCTGCATTTGCCACAGATACTTCGCAAGCTTTCTTGATTATTGAAAGCGCGGTTTTGGTGCCTTGAATCTTGAAATAAGTTGACTCCGAAGGGTGTTGGGTAATGCCGATCATGTTAAAGAGGGATATTAACTGATAGCGATTGGCGCCCGCGTTAAGCGCTCCCACAATAACAGATGTAGTCAAGTTGGCTCTTTCATTCCCCGCCTTAGCTTCTGAACGCTTGAAATTTCTGCGGCAGATTCTAGCTGCGCATTTTCCGCAGGAAACATGAAATTTCACCCCATATCCAGTCTTCTCAACTTTGATGGTCTCAGGACGCCCAACGAAGTTGCATTTCTCACATGGAATGTGTAAAATAAGACCAAGAAACACTTCCGTCTCGCATAGTATTGTGGATCCGACCATCGCAGTTGTTTCGCCAGTACCACCGAGAGAAATGAAGTCGGCTATCGCAGCATCAATTCCCACATCGTCGTCGCTGTTGCTGGTGTCCTCCTTACGACGTAGATTTTGATGGTACTTTGCCCTGGCTTCCGCCGTCCGCTTGGCCTTCCCTTCCTCAGATAGCCTTTGCGTCATGGACGCCAACTTGGCTTCGTATTCGGCACGCATGCCCGCTATCCCGCTCGAGACCCTGCTATCGATTGTTGCCTTCCCAATCTGCACAGCCTCCGCCAGCTTTGCTTGATATTTCTCCCCCAAGTTACTCTTCAAGGACGCTTTCTCTTGCTGCGCTGCTGTAAACTGCTCTGCGATCTTGCCTTGAAGAGCTGCTATGGTCTTGTCCTTGCTTTGCAACAAAACTTCTGTTGAAATGGAAAGTTCTCGCCTCTGTTGATCCAGTATGGCTTTGTCTCGGATTACTTGTGCCTGCAAAGTCCGTAGTTGCTTTTGGCATTCCTGCAATTTGAGCTCTCGTTGTAACAGTTCGACTTGTAGGGAATCAATCTCGGCTTTTTGTAAAGAGAATAAATCCTCTTCTTGTTCTTGCTGCTCAAAATCCTGCAACTGCTCTGGCGCCTCGTCAATGGTGGGTAAATGGCTGCGCACATTGTTGAAATTGAAGCGTTCCCTTGGGCTGTATCCAAAACGATCGGCAAATCTCTGCAAGGTTTGGAAGTAATATAGCCGTGCGAATTAGAGATTGAAAGAGCATAGTGTCATAGTGCATAACAAATCCCATAGTATATACTATGGGATTTGTTATGCACTATGACAGTGGCTATATACCAGCTATGTGCCAGCTATGTGCCAGCTATGCGACCCAGCTATTTGCCAGCTATGTGCCAGCTATAATACTCAGGTCGCTCCATCGAACATCGAGAGTCATCTTACAAATTATGAGTCATCCCTCTCCATTACTCATCGAGTTGTTCCGCACTCCCTACGGGACTTACGTCATTGAAAAACATCGAATTTAAAAGCCATCCAGCTCATCAAAAACAGCAAATACAAATACTAAGTACTAAATACTAAGTACTGATACTAAACACTAATCCTACGTCTTTTTGCGTCCCTCTCTACATCCACCTCTACATCTTTCCCTATATTGTCCACTACAACAACAATCGGCACTTTCTTCTTCACTTGTATATTCTTCCACCATACTTCGCTCTCCTTCAGATACATTTCTCGAATGTCCATCGGCAGTGCTGTCAAATCCACTCGCATGCAACTCCTTATTATAAACGATAGAGTCTTCGTTTCGTCTCCATCCTCCGCACTTAGCTCCCTCAACTCCAATCGCTTGAATTCACGCTTGATGTATTCGAGAGCCGACGCATGCTTCTTCACTATACGGTCGGCTTTCTTGAACTCCTCTGATTCGTTCAAATTGATAAACTCCAATACTCGTTCTTCCAATCGCTCCATTTCTAACCCGGGTTAGACTTTTGAGGGTATTGGATCCGGCCTTCCTACGGGACTTCCAATCCTTTTATAAAACATTTTCTATTATCGATAAAATTCAATTCTGTTTTATCGATAAGACAACACTTTCGCAATTCCCCATTCTGCAAAAACGTGACACTTTTCGTGACACTTTTTTTTACTCCACGTCTCGAGTCAGATACACCTTCTATTATCTATTTCCCTACACTTTACATGGAGGTGACAGTTGTGACAGTTTTTTTGAGGTAAAGTCCCTGGGGATATACGTTTTTCACTACTGAGAAGTAGTTCACCGTCTGCACTACTTTTCGCTCAAATAAAAATTTTATAAGAATCATAAACATACAAAAAAACTGTCACAACTGTCACGAATTTTTTTCCTTCATAGAAACACACCACAACTTTATTAATAAATTTTTATTTTACTACATGTATCGAGTGTGTCAGGCAAAGAAAAAAACTGTCACAAAAACTGTCACGGCAAAAACGTGACACTTTTTGTGACACTTTTTTTTACTCCACGTCTCGAGTCAGAGACACCTTTTATTATCTATTTCCCTACACTTTACATGGAGGTGACAGTTGTGACAGTTTTTTTGAGGTAAAGTCCCTGGGGATATACGTTTTTCACTACTGAGAAGTAGTTCACCGTCTGAACTACTTTTCACTCAAATAAAATTTTTATAAGAATCATAAACATACAAAAAAACTGTCACAACTGTCACGAATTTTTTCCCTTCATAGAAACACACCACAACTTTATTAATAAATTTTTATTTTTCTACATGTATCGAGTGTGTCAGGCAAAGAAAAAAACTGTCACAAAAACTGTCACCTTTTCAGAAAAACTGTCACCCCTCTTCATCAAACCCACTATCAATCACTTCTTCAATTCTACACCTACAAAGTATTGAGCGCCCCGAATCTTCTTTTCGGGAACTATCGGACATTGCGTCTCAGAATATAAAAGTTATTTGTTCTCAACTCAAGTAAACAATGAGTTATTATGTCATTTGTTCTGGTTGCTGTAACATTGAGCCTGAATTTGGTGATATGGAATACTGCCGTTCATGCGAACGAGATTACTGCAAAAAATGTTCAGTTGTTTATCAACCTAATGATGAGGCAAATGTTTATTTTCCAAACGGTGGTACGAACCCAAAAAGGCTACGAGAACTATTAGAATCGGAGACTCCTCCTGGATGTAAAGCTTGTCGCAAGGGACTACCGTGTTTTGATATTGAAAATAAATACTATGACAAGAAAGAATACCCGTTCCACAATAATTGGAAAGAGAAGGTTAAGAAATGGAAAGAGGATCTCCAATAGAAATTTCGTCAGTTGCTACCATTTCTAGTCTCTCCATTATAGAATGTTGCCAACATCTGGCAGGGAGGAGGTCAACGCTGCTCTTTTATAGACCAGAATGCGGTCAAGTCACTAGAATGTCAAAATTGTCACCTACCTTTTTGAATTTTGTGATATATATGATAAATGATAATACTCATAGTAGATGATAATCCGATAGGACTGAGAATTTTAAAGAAAATGATCCGCAAATTGTTCCCTAATTTAACAACTATATTGTTCAAAAATGTGTCGAGTGCAATGGAATTCATATCAACTAATTATGAAGAAATATCAGTAGTATTTTGTGATATGTTTTTTCCTGATGAAAAAGGAAGACCAATCTTGGTAACAGATGGAGTAAATCTCATTAAAATCATAAGAGGAGTGGAGAAAGACAAGATGTATGAAACAAAAATACAAATAATAGGTTTTTCTTCGAGTCCATTTTATGAAAAAGAAGCACATTCTGCAGGAGCCGATATGTTCTTTCATAAACCAATTACACTAGATAATGTGAAAAGTGCTCTTCAGTTTTTAGAAAAAGAGGAACTCTTTAATTTCCTTTAAATGCGTGCGAACTTTTAAAAAAATATTAGCATTTAATAATAAAACAAAATGGAAGTCGAAAAATTACTACTAAAATTAGACAAAATGTCAACAGAGCAACAAATGAAATTTTTGGAAGAAATAGAACGTACAAAATTAGGTGACGACATTGTCAAAAGCATGAACGATTATGTTCAGCCTCCGAAAAAGCGACAACCTCGAAAACAAAAAGTTGGGGAAAAGAGTGGAAACTGATGAGTAGTGGGTGAAACGCATTGTGAAGAAAAGTCTTTATTCTTGACAATACAGTAAAAAAAGATGGTACTATTTGATAATGAATCCACGACGGATGAGGATGAAATTCGTGACAAAGTCGTTGCGATTTATGAAAAAATTACTTCCCTTGATAAGAAAAGAGAATATATCGATGATTTAAGAAAAATCATCCCGGCTGTTCGAGAGGGGAATGTTCAATTCTTGGATTTATGTCTTAGAATCGCTGAAATAGAATTGCGATACAAAAATCAATTCAAAAAAAAAGCACAAAGATATAAACGGGTTCCTGTGGACGAAGAAGACTAAAAAACACGATTCAAAAACAGCAATTTTTCATATTGTTCTTTTTGATTGAAATACTTGCGCAAAGACGGAATCGAACCGCCATTTTGAGTTTGGAGGACTCAATTTCTACCATTGAAATATTTGCGCTATTTAGCCTATTACATTATTACTCGGAAGAAGGCCGTTTCCGGATTTGGTGAGTTTACTCTCTATTAGAACTAAATCTCATATAAATGGGTCCAGGTGGGTTAAAAACAGTTTTAAGTCAATGTTTAGGACAATATTATATATAGAAAAAAATGTTTCCGGCGAAACACATTCAGAAAAGAATCGAAAATATGTCTATTCTGAACATCACAAAATCTTGTAACACATGGAGTGTGCTTACTAAAATATGTCGAGATATGCAGTTGAATGGAAAGGAATCAATCGTATTATATGTCAAGATAAACGATAACAACAGACATATGTTTAGACAAATCGCATCCATTTGTTCAAATCTTCAATTACCAAAATTCCGAAGTAATTTTAGAGATTTTTTATACGGGGGGAGTGGTTACGTAGGCATTTGTAAAGATTACTTGATTCTACGAACTGATTATAATCATCGGTTGGAAATATTGGAAATTTCAGTTATCGAGTAGTCTAATATTCAAGCATTTGCATATCAATTCGACAATTAGCGTCAAACAAAAGATTAGAGCCCACCCAAGATAAAGTAAAATTATGCAACCCGAGTGCGAGTCCTGATGTAATAAACGATAAAGGGAAACGTACAATTTGCCCAGCATATCTCCAAAAAAGATAAAATGTTTTAACAACATTTCCATCAACTCGGATCGAAATATCAGTACCAAAATTGTCAGAACTGGAATATAATGCGATACTGCCATTGAACATTTGAACTGAACGGGTTGTATTGAAAGCTTTTATGAAACCGCTAGGAATGGATGTATCACCCGGCCCTGCATTGTTCCAGATAGATATAGCAACTGGTCGAGTAATTTCACCCCCTTTAGGGCCATCTAAGTACACACCTGAATCTGCTTTTATATACATCATGTTTTGATATGGTGGAGCGGTTGAAGTATTACCAATGCCTATGTATCCTGAGACAGTTGCATTGTCATTCTCGAATTGAATCGTGGAAAACCCATTTGCTGTTCTATTTTTTATTTTAAGAACATTTCCTACAAAATTCGCTTGTATTACATGCGTGCTAATACTACTAATCCCAAAATCGATAGGACCGTCCGTCTTTATAGTGGAAGCACCACCGATACCACCTAATTTTAAGATTAAGGAAGAATTGTACCAACTGAGAATGCTATTGTTTGCGATAGTATCGAAAAAATGTAAATCGCCGTTGGTATGACTCGGTGTGCATCTAAGATACATATTTCCCAAGTTGATTTGTGCATAGCCTGTAGATGGCATATTGAGGAATGTACCATTTATTGTTAAATCTCCAGTTGTAGAAAGACTCGGTAAGGTGGGTGTGGAACTCGACAAACTTGTAAGGTTGGCATGTAGAGGTTGTTTTCCAGTGAAAGATGAGAGAACCGAATTACCTGCCACAAATACATCCGTCCCTACATACAGTTTTTTAGCAACACTTGCTCCTCCAGATACTCTAAGTGCACCGGTATCTACTGCACTTGCATCTGTCGTTGGAAGGACAAAAACCGTCGTAGCATCTATCGTAAAAGCATTAATGTTGCCAATCGATGGAGCGGAACTGCCTCCAACCGTATTACTTGTATTTATGTAGAAATCAAGGGCATTAGTGAATAATTGACTTCCATGGTGGCGACTTCGAATAAAATGCTTATAGCCGCCTGTTCGATATTCAAAAATTATTCCTCCTAAATTTAACAAACCTTCTGCATCAGCCCCTCCACCCATCGTAATCCATTTAGAAACAGCCATGCCTCCACGAACTTGAAGAGCGCCCGTGGAAACAGATGATGTGTCGGTTGTCGTTGATATGACTACAGAACCGTCTCCTTTTAGTTGAAGCATATGACTAGATAAACTGAAGTTGTAAAATCCGAGACTTCCGTTTCCAAGTCCACCGGTACCATTTAAACCGGCGTGGTATAACCCCCATTGCGTACTAGACGAGGTGTCGTTCATGGAAAGTATAGCATTTCCTGAAGTTGCGGAACTCGGAGCATTGATGGTAATACCGAGAGGTTGATTTCCCATCCCAAGATTCAATGTTAATAATTTAGAAGTCATACTCGTATCGTAACCAGTCAATTTAGTTTCGATCGGTGTTATGCGAGTATTGTAGTCACTCGTCAAAACATAGCCTGGGACACTTTCAAGTCGAGAAAAACTCAGCGAACCAACAGTGTCAGATGAAGACAAGTCGACGGTATTTTTTAAAGATAGTGAACCAAATGCAGGTTTATTTAAAACATTTACGTACTCAATAGCACCGCTCGATGCAGATAAAGACAAACCTAATGTTGTTTTAATTGCAGCGGCGTTTGAGGAATCAATTAAAGGTTGAAGTGTCGAAACGTTTACTTTACTGATGGGTAAAGTACCCACAACATAACTTGTAGACAAATCAATTATGTCTAGGTTTGATAATGCCTTCAACTGGCTTTGTCTAGTTTCAATAGGAGTGAATCTATTGTCTATAACAGTTTGTCGAGCATTATATGTAGAGAGCAATGTGTAGTTACTTAATGGAATTGCAGCAATTTGAGTATTGACATATTCTTGACTAGCAACTAACTTTGTTGTCTCGATGTATACACCGCTTGAAGAGATTCTCATAACTTCAGATAAAGTTCCACTCGACCCAGTTGAAGAAGAGAATATCATGGACGAGCCATGGTTATTATCATCTTGAATGCTAATTTGCGAAGAGAGTTTATTTGCGAATGGTGCGAATTTCAGCACTTGTGTCGAATTGGAATCCTTTGTGAGAAGGATATTGTCCACATATTTGTTGTTACTGAATCCACCAGAAATGCCCTTGAACAATAGTACACTGGATACAGTTCCCGTTGTAGGAGAACTTTGATGACTTGTGATTAATGTTCCATTGACATAAACTGATAAAGTGTCATAAACCAATTTTATAACAACATTTGTCCAAGTGACTCGAGGTAATGAGAGCGGGGGGATAACTGACTGGTTTGTTCCTTCCGGACTTGTGATTAATGAAAAATTCGACCAACTTGAAAAATAAACCCACCAACCCCCGCAAGAAATCTGAATCCCATCATTGTTTTGAGTTCCATAGTATAAACTTGAATTAAGAGTCCAATAACGCCCTAGATTAGGTATCGTATAAGTCAGGGTACCTGATGAACTTGTCTGTCCAAATGCTTGTAACTGAACCCATTTGTTGGTCGAGTCGTATAAAGCGTTTCCAGTTAGTACACCACTTGGTGATCCGGAATTGAAATTTTCATTCAATAATGTTGTCGAAGTTGTGTCAACTCCTGAAAGCGAAACTGAATTAGCAATGGTGTTTTGTTTGCTCGGTAATGCCGTGTCAATTACGAGCTGTCGAGCATCGTAAACACTTTGTGCAACAAAAGATGGCACATTTGATAACAAACTGAAATCCAATTTAGAGGAAGTTGTAATCAATGGATGTTTAAGAGCCATTCCCGTAGCAAAAGCTGTGTTATTCACATATCCAAGTAATGTTGATGATAAAGACGTATGAGAAACATAAGTAGCAGGTAAATTTGCTGTAACTGCATATCCACTCAAATTGGGCGTATCCGAGATTAAACTATATGAAAGTTTGTTAGAACTTGTGAGTTATGGCTGAAAATTGTTATTGAGATTTGACTCGAGGTCATATACCAGAGCGGTAGTTAGGTCAATTGATTCTAGCAAAGGCTCAAGCAATTCAGATGTTGTTTCAACTATTTTCGGAATGATAATTTCGGTATCATATTCGCGTAATATTTGAAGATTGACCGCTTGGTGACCGTATTCATTTTGCAATCCTAACCATGAACACGGAGGAGGCTTATCGAATAATAGCCGCGTTGTATCACACCCAAGAGCATCTGGTAATGTTGCAATAACGACATTACTTCCTTCTTCGAGAGAAGCGGTACCATCTTCGTTATACAAACCGTTATCATCCTCATCTATTTCTTGTTTCCGCTCATGCCCCCAAATTCCAATGAATCCACCTACAAGACTCCCTCCTGTGAGAGCACCGGACAACCCACCTACGGCTCCTATAGCAGAACTTGCGATTCCTGAGATGCCAGCGCCACCGCCGAAAATGGATATTACTCCACCAAGTCCTCCTAACGCTCCAGCCAGTCCGCCACTCGATGCTATCGTAGAGCCACTGCCAGATTTGAACGTCTCTTCTGGAGTGTCGGCGTTTTTTTGCTCTGGTGGATCTTCAGCCGTCTTCTCTTGTGTAAATGTGTCAATTGTTGAGATAGTGTACCCAAGTCCCGGACTGCCGACCAAAATCACCCCTGTTCCGGCAGTCAAGGTCATTGTGTTTGATATTGTCCTGCCGACAACTGTGATCCCCGTTCCCCCTACAAGTGGTTCCTCGATTTCGGGTTCGTCCGGTTGATAAGTACACGAAATGGTTGCCCCGGTGATGCTAATATTGGTACCAGCCACATAGGCTCCGCGAATATCATTTCCAACACGTGTGACTCCATTAGATGCTGTGAGATTTTCTGCTATGTTTGTTTTTGTCAAATTCATGGAGAGAGCACCTTCTACAGTTAAATCCAAAGTAACTTCGTGGCTGCTATTCTCGTGCAAGCCGTTTCCGAATGTTCGAGTATCTGTCAATATTTCATCATCGAATTCGAGATTTCCTTGTGTATGAAGATCCAGGAATACCTCATTTCCATTTCTAAGTCCAAGACTGTTAATACTTTGAAAGATTAAACCAGAGGTAAGTTTACCTTCGCTATTGACTCGAATAGTTTGATTATTTACAAATGCTGAAGGATTCACACCAATATTATTGTTGAGATCCACGACAAGTGTTGCGTCGGTTCATAGAGATATTTCTCGTCGACCATTCAAAACTCCGCTGATATCTATCGCAGAACCGCTTTGGTATAATTGTTGAACATATGAACTTGTCACTGCTTCATCACTATCTGGTGAGAAATTCTGCGATAGAA